CTAAGTGATTGTCTACATGAGAAGTTGTCAGGTAACAGAAAGTATGAATTGAAAGTGCAAAAGTGAATTAAGTTAAAATGAACCAATCTTGTTCTATATGAGAGCATCTGCACAGGGGTTCAATATGTTTTATCTAACACATACAGTTCACATCTTTAGTGAATTCAGTTTAACGTCCTAGAAAAGCCCTGTGGTCCCAGCAGCAAACGGCCAGATGGCCCAGTCGCCAGAGATTCTGTCAAATTCCAGGTTGTTGGGTTGCTTTCTCATCATCGCTTCACTGCTAATCTCTCTTTGGCAAGGGTTTGATCTTGTAGGCTCATTGCCCTGAACTGTCCAAGCGCTGCTGTCTGGGGAGTTCCTGAGAACTGAGCTAGTTCATGTTTGTCGTCTGAGCCCTGCTAAGCAGTGTACTGAAATCCAACTCCTGTTGCAATTCCCCACGGACTCTACTCTTCCGCATTTCTGACAGGATGAGTACGAAATGAGTCACTAAAGCCAGAGAAGTGCCAGTGCCTAGAGAGGGCAGCACACTGAGCTCTGCAATGAATGTTAGCCCGCAGCATGGACTGAAACAATCCACACCTATAAGGCTTCCAGTGTTTGGCTAGCAACTGTGCAGGAGGTACGTAGACAGAAAATGCTTGCCAGAGGAAAACAACAAGAAGAAGCCAGGGGGCCCAGCCTCATTCTCCCAAGCACCCCCACTGCTAGCCCGAGGTGTACACAAGCAACCCTGCAGTAACAAAGAAGGACTGCATAAAAGCTTTCTGTCACATACTTGTGAGCAACTCTAAATCTGTAATGGGGTTCAGGGTGCTGGAACAATTTTATAGTGGGGTGCTGACAGCTATTGTATAAGACTGGAAACCCTGTGTATAATGGAAACCTCTTCAAGCTGCAGCACCCCTGCACCCCTAGTTCCAGCATCTATGAATGGGGGCACCTGGCTCCACAGTATCCCTGCAGTAACATGCGAGTGTTTGCATGTTTCACAATGGAATGAGCTTGATTCTAAGTGCTGAGGGGTTATTGTATACAGGGAGTAAAACTATGCAAGCTCCCTGGGCCTGGCTCCATGGGACCCTGAGGCGATGGTAAAAGTGGAGCAGCTTGCATGAGGTGTTGGAGGCATGGGATCATTCATTGCTGTGGTTGCTTTACACTTCTCTCTACTTTACCTTGTCAGAAAGGAAACGGATCCTCTCACCCCCTCACTCTCCCTGGCTCATGGATGGCTTTTGGTTTCCTAGGCTCTGGGCTGCTGCTGGTGCCCAGAGAAGTTTAATCAGTTGGGTAAAGAGCAAATTTTATATGTGATCTAAAAGGTAGCAGTGGCGGCAGCACCCCTTGTGCTCATGCCCTGACATGGCAGGAGCTAGAAGAATGTCTACAGTCATTTCAGCAGAATCTAGGTTTCAGTAAAGCCTTAGGCTTTGGCTCCTTGTTTTCCAAGCCTTGTTTATGGCACTGATATTTCTTTAGTGTCAGGGTTAGACATCAAGCATTTTTTCCACTGCTGCATAAGAAAATAAATTAAGTGACGATGGAGAGGACTTCTACCTTAGAAAAAGCTATGCTCTTTGGATCCAATAGCTATATACATGCTAGCACAAATTGCTTCCTGGGCAGAGACTCAGCCTCAGCTACAGAGAGGGAGGAGTTGTTTACGCATTGGGAAATCACAAAGCACCCCTTGGATTTTCTCAACAAACGGCTTCTCAGATAAACTTGCAACCTCCATTTGGGTAAAATGCCAGTCCAGCCAGCTCCCTTTGCTCCTCACAGACTTGGACAGACATAGGTGAATGCTGTAACTTCAGCTGCAGTAGCACCTCACTAGTTTCTCTCCCTGGCAATTTGGGCCCCAAAGAAAAGTAGCTCGTATGGACCCCAGTTTAGCCCACGTGTTTCCATTGCCAGCTCATTACCACTATTGTAGCTGGGTGACAATATAATATGCTGCACAGAGCACTCCAGTTTACACTGGCCTAGCTTTAAGATGAGCTTTGAGAGCGGATGTGACTCAAAGGCTGTTGGTAGGGGCTAGGTGGGTAGAGAGAAAACACAAGACACAGAGAGCAGCACAAGTAAGTAAGTTGTTTTCCCCTGCCCACACCATAGAGAGCATCAGGGAAGGAGCAGGAGGGAGACTAAGAACTGGAAGTAGTAGGAGCAGACAGCAGAACAGGTGGCTAGGAAAGCAATAGAGGAGGGAGGTTTGCGAGCAACAAGGTAAATTAGAGCGAGTCAGGAGAGTTCTGAAAACAAAGAGCAGGCATTGGAATTAGCTGTAGAGCTGGGGAGACAGCGAAGGTGGGTGATGGAGGATTTTCATGGACTGTGTATGGGAGTGACTGGCCTGAGGGAGCTAGTAATCCACTTTGCCTCCATAGGAGGAGGTGGAAGGTTCAAGAACTAGGATGACCCTGCAGCTTCTGGCCTGACTGAGGAGCTCGGAGGGAGCAAAGAGCAGGGGAGGGCAGTGTTTTAAAGTCAGGCTACTATGGTGGCTACTGCTATAGCCAACTAACCATACACAACTGGCCAAATTGCCACATGTGGCTAGCGTGTTGGACATCACCACTTTACAGCAATGAAAGTGACATCCCGTCTGCTTGTCCTTCTGCCTTTTCCAGTCTCCCGTCAATTCTGTCCCCACATCTATTCCCCCCAGATCCACCTCTGCTCCTGGTGCAGTTCCAGGGGCTCTTTTCACCTTGCTGCATTAGGGAGAGAAGAGGAGCAGAGGATCTGTCTCTGTGGCTCATGCTAGGGGAGGGTGGAGCAGGGCCCTTTAGGGTGCTTGGGCAGGGCTGAACTGTGACTCTGCAGAGACCAGGCTCAGCTGCAGAAATGTCACTTGCTGGGTTTGCTACACCTTTGGACGGGCTAACCTAAGCCCTCTCTGGGGGTGGCTCTTAGTGCACAGCTTGAGACAGCCACTGGGGGCATGTCTAGACTACATTTTACTTTTGAAGAAGATATGCGAATTTGGCAGGAATTTGCATATCTTCTTCCGATTGCTTTTTTCAAAAGAGTTTTTTCAAAAAAGCAAGCAGTCTAGATGTGGTCTTTCAAAAAAAAAAAAAAAAAAAAAAAAAAAACCAACCCCTTTTTTCAAAGGAACTTTCTTCCTCAAAAATTTAGGTTTATAGGTTTTTTTCGAAAAAGCAATCAGGAGAAGATATGCAAATTCCTGCCAAATTTGCATATCTTCTTTCAAAAGCAAAATGTAGTCTAGAAGTGCCCCCCAGTGAGAGAAGAGCTCTAGCAGCAGAAGTGAGGAAGAAGACAGCTGGGACCTCAGCTTCCATCAGGAGGTGCCCAGGAGAGTAATTTGGTGGTACTGAGAACTGCCTCAGCATCCTAGAGTGTGAAAGCACCATGGGAGATGGGCAGGGGGGAGAGGTTCCTTGCTCAGCTGCCAGGCAGTGCGGAAACAGATGGAGCTGGGTGAGGCAAGAGGCAGCTCTCTCCTGCTGAGACACTGAGGGAAAGGGGTGCAGAGAGGACAGGGAGTAGGCAGTGAGGGGAGGTGAGCTGTGGTAGAAGGAGAGGGCCTGGCTTTGATAAGGCTGGTGATGGAAGGGAGAAGGGTCTGGTTGCAGCTGCCCTCATTCTGTCAGTTGTGCAGAGGTTGCAGACCTGCCAGAAGACTGTGGATGTTCAGAGTAGGGTGAGTCAGACTATGGCATGGGACAGCAGGAGCTAGTCCTGGAGTCCAGTGGGGTAGTTTTTCCTATTGGTGAGTCATGTAGGAACCAAATTAATATACAAGTGCTCAAGTGGCCTGCTGGGATTTGTTCAGCTACTGACCATCCTGAAGCTGCAGTGAAGTTTGACCCAGATATTCTGACGCAAACACCCCCAGTAACGCTCACTCAGCTGCATGTACAAACCAACACCCTTCTCATGAGCACATACCACACTCCTCCCTGCCCTCCTAGTGCGCTGAGATATGAGGTCCCAATATGCATTTACCAAGCTTCTGCTCACAAGTGAGAAGAGAAGTCAGACCATCACTAATATTGTATGCTGCTAGGGCCCCTCCACCACGGGATCACCAGGCAAGGGAGTTCAGCTCCAGACCTCCCAGGAGGAAAGTCCTTATTTCATTTGAGAGATGGCCACAGTGAGTGGAGGAAAGGGGGAGGCAACATGGTGAGGTTGCAGTTGGTTGGTAGAGCTGAGATCTGAACTTGTGGTTCTGCTTTTCCACAAGATTAGTCCCATCTCCTGGCACCCGAGATGGTCTTTTCAATTACTGCCTAATCTAAAACACCAGAGGCAGAAAAGGAGGAGGCTAGTGCTGCTCTTGCCCATCTTGTCTATCTGGGGCTTTCCCTGACCTTGTTTCTGGGCAGCAAAAGGGCTGGTTCCATAGCTGAAGGAGACAGAATTTTGGCTAGTTCATTCCTGGCCTGGAGCCATAGATGTGAATAGATGAATGCACTGAGGCACAGAGCTGGGACTTGGGGTGCTAGCTAAGAGGCTGGTCCACTGTGTGACATTGAGCAAGACAAACCTCCCCTCTCTGGGCTTCAGATTTGCCCTCCAGGAAATGGGACTAACAGCCCGTCTGCCATCCTGGGCTATGCAGGCTAATTGGGCAGGGGTTTGTTCAGAAGATCCCAGCCCCTGCAGCACAGGGGCAAAGGGCTCTGACCTGGGGTATATTCTCTCTCTAGGGCTGTGCTCCCCCATGTACCCCTGCCTGCCTCAGCTTCACTGTACACTTACATCTGGGATGTGAATTTCTAACACTTGCTGTGAGCTGGGGAAGCTGAGCCACAGGCTTGTTCAGCAGCCGGGCATGTTTGGGCAGCTGAACTCAAGCTCTCTGAGCAGGCAGTGGAAGGGCCTGCCTGGTTGCTCATGGGTTAATGTTTCTCTGTTGTAGTTTGTTTCCCTTTGCCAAAGTGGGTGTTGCTGGAATGTCTCCTCTGGTAAGGAGGGGGCCGAGCTGTGTCCTCTGGAGAGGGGCGATGTCAGCATCAAAAAGACACAAAAGGGGGAGGTTTCCAAAAATAAAACCCTCCATCCCCTCCAGACTCTGCCAGTGCCAGAGGCAGGCGAGAAGGTGCTTGGAGCTGTCTGCAGAGCGCGCAGGCTCTGACAGCCAGGGGAGAGGAGGGACTGGGAGTTCTCCTTTCAGGGGTAGGAGGGACGGCTGCAGCTGCTCTGTGCAGCCCACACTGTGGGGCTTGCTGTGTTACCTTCTCCCTGGGCTCTCCTGCTCCTGCAGACAGCAGGTACTGATTAAGTGCCCTCCATCGCAGGAGATGGTGAAGTGAAGGACTTGGAAGGCTATTTCAGGAGACTTGTTCAAGGAACTTTGCCTAGTCTGCTTCCCACAAACTCCCGTTGGACACTTCCCTTCATGGGGCTGTCAGCAGCCACACGCTGAGTACGCTCTGCTCCCTTTGAGACTGGCCTTCCCTCACAGGCAAGCACCATGAGGGGTTCTTGGGGCAATTTTCTCCCTCTCGCTTTAGCTCTTTTCCTAGGACTTGGTGATTCTCAGAGAGACTTTGCTGGAAGATCTGATCCGAGTTCTTTGTTCCAAACTGAAGCTGGAAGCAGGGACACAACTCGGCTAAGGCTGCGGAACCAGGGCAGTAACTTGGGACCCACAGGCAAGGTGTACAACCTGTTCCGGGCGCACAGCCCTTCTGCTTCGGAGCATCTCCCAGCAGCCTCTCCTGTGGATCACCCAGCCTGGATGAGGAGCCCGACAGGAGGGGACAAGAGGGCACATCCATCTATTCCTCCAGATCACAAACTACTTGCTCCCCAGAGCGCCAGGGGCCAACCCAGTAATCTGAGAGCAGCTGCAGACTCTCCAGATGGGACCCTCCTTCAGACCCCTAAGCAGAGGCAGAGGACGGATTCCACACGCCAGCGGCAAAGAAACGGGGTCAAAGCTCGGCCAGTGTACCGGGCAAAGATGCAGAATGCCGGAGGCCGACTCATGGGGTAAGTGTAGCCAAAGGGTTCTCACTCCAGGACTAGGTGTCTAATGTGACTCCTTCTGTTGCACCGGCTCAGAGGTCTGAGTCAGGAGCAAAGGGGCCAGAAAAGTCCCATCTTCAGGGAACTTCGTTAGTGGAGACTCCAGCCCCAAAGCTCCAGCCACAGGAGGGGCCTCTGGTCCAATACCCATCCCCTTTTTGTTCACTAACCAAACCTTTTGTGCCCATTGGCACTGCACGTATGCCATCCCCAGCAGGTAGAGCTCAGATTGTCTCTCCCTTGGTCACTTACTCACCTTCTGTCCCATGTGCAGTAATAAGGGCCAGTTTCTGCTTGGCTTCAGCTGTGCTGACCCTCGCCTGCCCTTGGCATGCAGCCCAGGGCCCAAAGCAGCTTAGGAGCCAGCTCAGTTACTTGCTGTAACACTGTGAGCAAGTCCCCCACGTGCGGGAGGAGTTTGTGCTTCTGTCTCGGCACACAGAGAGCATGTGTGTGTGTGAGCGAGAAGGCACGCGTGCAACATGTTGTCTGCAGCGTGTCTCCTCGGCATGTTGCCCCAGAACGCACCGGGTGTGCTCCCTTTGTGTGTGGGCACGGTGGGGCTGCTGTGGCCATACTGTTGCATTGTAGGCTGTGGGTTTTGCTGCCCTGCTTGTATGGGTGTTGTGTATAGTCCTGCAGAGAGCACAGGTGGGGAACTGCAGTGCAGTGTGTCTCTGTGCCTGAGGGGCAATGCAATGTGGGGGCAGCTGAGGCCCTTGCTTGGCTTGAGGAATATACCTGGGCTGCCATGCTCTCTGACTGCAGATATTAGCCTCTTGGCACATTGCACCTGGAATGGGTGGGCCCCTTGTAAGTTCTGCATGCAGAGCTTTGAGCTTTGTATAGCTCCTGCTGGCTCAGCTGGAGGAGGCTTCCTATGACTTGTCTGGCAGAGCTGCCCCCAGTTGCAGTCCTTGCCATGGTAATGTGGAGGTAGGGTGGGGGGCACACGGTGTGCTCAGATGCTCTGTAGAAGAGTCCTGTTGTTCCTCCCTCTCCTGCCATTCCCCTTGCTGGTTCCCTGCTTGCGTGCAACTCTCAGCTTGCACTGCTGGGGTAACGTGCTCTTGAAGCCACCCTCTGTAATCAGTTAGGAAAACCCAGATTGCCACTAATGGCCACTAACCCTTTTAGCATAGTCATAGGATGATGGCAGGAGGGGCTGGCTTGGGGGGGAGGGGGCGGATTGCTGTATTGCCCTCTGACATGCAAGCACGTTACAGACTCACAGAAACACTTTTTTCCAACACTAACAAAGGAACTCAACTAAAAGAGTAAGAAAAGCAGCATCATTCCTAAAGCTTCCCCTTCCCTCTGCCTACTGCTGAGAGCTTTCTTCTGCCCCATCCCACCTGCTTCCTCCTAGAGATGTAAAGTAGCAGCATGCACAGCCTTGCATCTTTTCCCATCCCCCTGTGCTCTACACATATTTAACAATAAATTATTCGTTAAGAACAAACTATAGCTCTAGACGAGCCTCTGGCTACCTCACTCATCTAGTGCTGCTCACCTTGTGGCCCTAAGAAGGGGTTTGTCCAGTGGATTTATTTGGATTATCAAATCCCATGTAATCAGTTCAGGACGCTTCTTAGCAGAATGATCTCCTTCCGCTAATGTTGGGATGTGAGCTCATTGCTCTAAGGGTCACATGGCAATTCAGCTGAGTTTGGGGGACCCACCTGGAGATGCTGCCTACTTCATCTATAATGAGTACCAAGGTCCGTCTCAACCAGGCTGCTGATGGGGAACAGGGTAGCAATTGCCTCAGGGCCTGGCAATTTAAAAGGGCCCAGGGCTCCAGGCCCTTTTAAATCTCTGCTAGAGCCCAATGCTGTGCAGGCTGCCCGTAGGCCTGCCTCCTCCATCTGAGGCCACACCCCTTTTGAAGCCCCTGGAGTCACAGCCCTCACCTACCCCAAAGTTTTACAGGGCCCAGCTAAATCTGTCATCAGCCCCAATCAGAACCAGGGATAACAGTTAATATTCAGTTTCATCCTTGTCCAGTTTTATCAGGACTGGAGAGCCTGTTTTAAGCTTGGATGGGGGAGCCAGGCTGCAGACAGATAGATGGCTGAAGCAGAAAATCTGAGACCTCTTTGAAGTAGCAGCACTCACATTTTAAACAGGATCACTTAGGATGAAGATTTACCTGGGACGTTGTCAGTGTTGCTTGAAAGGAAGCTCTACGTAAAATCCTTGAAATCACACTGCATCCCAAAAACTTGGGATGTAGAGTTCACATTGTCAGTGAATTTTTTGTTCAGATGCCAGGACAAGAAAAGTTTCCTTGTTAACTTTTTTCTGACCTGCTGACTTGGGGGTTGGGGTGGGATCTAGTGAGATGGAAAATGTTTGCCTAATTGGAATAGTGACTGTCTACCAACATTTTCATTTTCCTAACACAAGCCTAGAGCTATTCTTTTTCAAAGCCTGTTGGGTATAGCGTTTTGGGTATCTGTGAGTTGTGGCTTTCTGGTCATCATATATATAGTAGACCAATGTCTGTGAGTCTGTAACGCTGAAATGCTGGCTGTTCCCTCTTGGCAGCCCGTACTGCATGGGGAGTGCGGGGCCCAAACGGCTGCTTGCTCCCCAGCGGCAGCCCGGCTGAACGGGGCAGAAGTCAGCCGAGCACCCCGGCAGGAGGCGAAGGGGGGCGGGGCAGTGACGTGCAGCGTGACAGTGGCTCCATGCCCCGCCCCCTGGCTGTGAACGTCACCGCCTTGCCCCCCTTCGCCTCCCGCCGTGGCGCTCGGCTGACTTCTGCGCTGCTCAGTCAGGCTGCCGCTGGGACCAAGTGGCGCAAGCGACTGTTTGGGCTCCGCGCTCCTCATGCAGCACGGGGAGTGCGGAGCCCAAACAGCTGTTTGGGTTCCGAGGTCCCCAGAGTGAGAGACAGGAGGGGGAGGAGAAGAGAAAGAGAGAGACAGAGAGAGAGGCAGGAGGAGACAGAGAGAGAGGCGGAGGAGACCTGAGGGGGGGGAGGCAGGAGGAGGAGAGAGAGAGAGAGAGAGAGAGACCGGAGGCTCAGGAGAGAAGACCGACGTGGAGGAGAGAACTGAAAATCCCGTCTTATGACGGGCAAATTGGCTAGTTTTGAAATAACAGGCCTGTTCAAAAGATGCAGAATAGATATTTCAGGATACCTCCGGTATACGGAAATAGTGCTGCAGTGTAGACGTAGACTTGCAGAGCCTCGAATCAAAGGATCTATGACAGTACAAAGTCAAAATAACTTATTTCAAAATAATAACTCCTGAAATAACTATTTTGAAATAGTATGTCCACACGGCTACACGGGGCATGAACTAGGTAGTTCGATCTAGGCTTCCTAGTTCGAACTACCGTTACTCCTCATGAACTCCTCATGAGTAACGGTAGTTCGAACTAGGAAGCCTAGTTCGAACTACCTAGTTCGTGCCCCGTGTTGCCGCGCTGCCCGGGGTTCGAACGAGCGGGGTTTTAAAAATGGAGGCGCCCCGCTTATGCAAATGAAGCCCGGGAAATTCAAATCCCGGGCTTCATTTGCAAGTGCGGTATGCCTACATTACCCCGCTAGTTCGAACTAGGAGGGTAGTGTAGACATACCCATATATAGTAGCCCAATGTCTGAGAGTCTGTAACGCTGAAATGCTGGCTGTTCCCTCTGGGCAGCGCTGTTGTTGAAAGGCTGTTCCCTCTGGGCGGCGTTGTTGCCTGAAATACTAGCTGTTCCCTCTGGGCGGCCCATGCTGCATGGGGAGTGCAGGGCCCAAACTGCTGCTTGTGCTGCTTGCTCCCCTGCGGCAGCCCAGCTGAACGGCGCAGAAGTCAGCTGAGCACCAGAGCAGCTCCAGGCCCTGCTCCCTACCAGTGAATGTCACCGCCCCGCCCCCCTTTGCCTCCCGCCGTGGCGCTCGGCTGACTTCTGCCCTGCTCAGCCCGGCCGCC